GCAGGAATGGCAAGTTGCCGGCAAGGGCATTTGCATAGAAACGGAGCGTTGAGGTTATCTCCCTCACAAATAAGGAAGTTGTTGGCGCTGAAGAGGAATTGAAGCTATCAGTTCATAGGAGCAAAGCGGCACGCAGAAGCAGAGGACGTTCGTCGTCGTCTACGAGTGCGAAATCAATGTCGTTGAAGCTCGCGAAAGAGAAGACGAAGCTCGACGAGCCGCGATCAGGAGCAACTGTACGAAGCTTTTCAAAAACAGAGTGAAAAATGCCGTAGCAGAGGCTAGGGTCGCCGGTAGTGGGAGGGAGAGGTGGCATCGTGTCAATTGAAATTGAAAAGGTACATAAAAGTTGTATGAGAGTACTCAATAAAGGCGCCCTACCCATACGATACACACACTAACATCCTAAAAAAATAAGACAGATAAATTTCTAAAATTCATAACTCACAGAAAACAAGTTGCTAGGGGCGAGCCAACTTGGTCATGCCTCTGCCTCTGGTTTTAGGAATGGAGCCAGCTAACAAATTGTTGAGTGTCGTGTCATTACCCGAAGTTATTAAAGTATCATCCATTAAGTTCCCAAACTGGGGTGTGCCTCCATTCTTCTTTGTCTTCCTAGATGTGTATATCTTTCATTCATCATCTGAAGATTGGCTAATCTGATCAGTGTGATCAACAGATTTTCGGGCATGTAGAAGAGGATGAGCCCCTAGCTCCTGATTAACAGTAAAAATTCTCATTCTAAAGAGATGGTAAATCTATCTCCTCAGCACCTGATGCTTCCTGAGGTTGTGAAGCTGTGATACTACCATGATTATCGGACCGAAGAATATCCTTTGGAGGTAAGGATCTTGCAGTATTGTTTTCAACAGTGATAGAGTGTCATCTGCCAATACATCAGTCGGAAGAACAGAAATAGTATTGTTTCCGTTAGTGGGAGGGAGAGGTGGCATCGTGTCAACCGGTGTTTCAAAAGTCTGTGGAATGCACTCGGGGGCGGAAGAGGGACAGGTATGAAGTGGGGCAGATCCAGTAGCATTTTTACTCTAAGGTTTTAGATTTAGATGCAAATGATAACATTGAGAAAAAGAATGTCCAAACATCCGGCAGTGGGTGCAATAAAGAGGTATCTGTTCAAGTTCTGCGCTGCCAAAATCCCTGATGTTGTGTGTCAATCCATATCTCTTCCGGAAAAGGTAAAACAATATCCCGTTCTATCAAAATTCTGGCTTCAGAAGGCCGAGTCAGATTCATTGTAGGCATATCAGTTTTGAGAGGTTTATTGTATATCATCGCTAAAGCGAAGGGGAGCTCTTGATCGTAAATGTGGACCTTTAAACCTAGGAAGCGCAGCCAAACAGGAATGGTATGGTAGGAGGTTCAGTAGAGGTTCAGTACGATGGTCAAAATTCACCGTCCATTTTAAAACCTTCATCACCTGGTTGTCCATTCGAATGAGTCTTCTCACAAACAAATGAGCGTAGTCTGCATCATTTGATAATTGAATGAGAATCTGCTGACCATCCAATTTATCAATCTTCCAACCCCCTTTCAGCTTCATTTGCTCAAAATCCTTTCTAATTAGCTCAAGTTTAGGGTTTTCATAAAGAAACTTACCTACTAAGAACAATCGGTAGGGTGCAGCTAGGGTGGAGATCTCGGCCTCTGTGAGAAATATTGCAGGTTTGTCATTTTTATGGGATGTTTTTTGAGAAATCCGATTTCAACGCCAAGAGCAAAAGTATCGTGGTAACTTTGTGGAAACATATTCAAAAGAGGGGCGGGAGCGGGGTTATCACCGGCGAGGGTGACGACGTAGGAAAGAACCCTTGAGGCCATCACCTTGGCCGGTGCTTCACTGCGTGCGCACTGTCGTTGAGACAGTGTCTGGTGCTTCACTGCGTGCGCACTGTCGCTGAGCAGCGGGATGCAGTCTGCGACCGAGGACGAATGCACTCGACGCAGACGACAAGCGGCGTGCGAAGCAGCAACGTGTGACGAGGGCGAAGAAGGCAACGACGGAAACAGCGACAACGCGGTGCTGG